TTACACCCGCATTTCAATTCCTGTGTGGAGTTTCATGTACATGGATCTTCTCGTCGTCGCAGTTGATGTATTGGAACCCATCACGACAGCAGTATCAACATGTCGGATGCATATAATCGTGAAACAACCACTGGTGATGCTGCTGCTCTCTGCTGTAGTCCTTGTCTACTACCAGCACTATGCACTCGAGGGGAAAAGTGAGGAGAACAGGTAGAAATCAACGAGTGAGGAAATAGCGACGACAGTATGATATCAACTGTTCATGTCTGGAGAAAGGGTGGCAATTTGACGTGCCACTCTCTCTGTAACCATTCCGTATTTCAATACTTTTCGGGGTTGAATTTGAGTTTGGTACATACAGACCAACCGCGGTCTGCAAATCAACACGACGACAACTTCATTCATTCACCGTTTGTGTTTCCCCCGCCTCTCGTGCCCGGCCTTCAGGTGCTCTACCGTTCCACGGGACTACTATACAGGGTTGTGCGATGGGACCAAGAAACCGAGTTGCTTCAGTTAGCACCTGCTGCCTCCCGCCCGAACAACGGAAAGAGCAGCAGTAATGCCGCCGACAACAACAATCGAACAGGGGTTACGCCCCAAAGCCCGAGATTGGCTTTCGAACACATGGTCGATCTAGTCGACGAAAGTGCCAGTGAATCTTCACCACCGACAAAAAGTTTCAGCGACGATGACCCGACCCAGTACGCCCGACGTACCGCGAACCTCGACGCCCGGGTTGAGGTCCGATTCGACCCGAAGCGAGGCCGCGGATTGTTCGCTCTGCGAGATATTCCGGCGGGGACAGAGGTGATGCGAGTGCCCGCGGCAGCGGCAGTGTTGCTGGATCGCAGCAGGAAGGGCTCGTGCAGTGGGTGTCTGCTACCGACCGACACAGTTGGTAGCCTGGAGGCATGCCACGGCTTCCCTCTCAGCTTCTGTGCTGAGTGCAAGAAGTCTGGCACCGTCGGCGTTGCAAGCGGTGTTCACAACAGCGCCACGCGCGAGCTCACGAAGGAGTTGAACACGATCTGCGCGACAAGTGGTGGAGTCGACAAGGACAGCCTGAGACTTGCGGCCGATGTGTTCGTGCGGAGAAAGGCAGGCTTATTCGATGATTCTGAGTGGGGCTTGCTCAACAGCCTCGAGAGCCACGACAACGAGGCCCACACGATGAGCCTAGCCCCTGCCGAGCTCCACAAGTGCACCCGCCTGTTCAAGACCCTGGTGGATACCAACATTTCGGACGAGGACGTCCAGGCGATGTATCGCAGGCAAGCAGCCATGTTCGGCGCCACCACACGTCAATAATGGCGTTTGGGACTCTTAGAGGGAAATGGAGTTGACGAAGACGTGTACAGAGTCCGTTACCATACAGTGGCGAGGGGTTGGCGCGTAGCCTTCCTCTCTTGAGCCGGTTGTTTTGAAAGAATAGCATGCTATAGAAGTACGTATCCGGACAGGTTCGCCTTGTAATAGTAGTGAACCATCATCTTCACTCCAAGCACGCCATTCTGCATGCGGTTTTGACCCCACACGCCGTTTTTGGTACTCGCAACTATTCCGCGGCCATCGTCCCCCCCTTCGAAACCATACCACGTATTTCCTCTCCCTATGGTACTTGGGACCGTAAGCGCAATCTGCTCACACACTGCAATGTTGCCCACTTCGCCGACCACACCATATGTCCCACCATGCGCACCGTAACCGTCGTCAGGATCACTCGCAACGCGCACACGGTGTCCCCCAACACATCTAAGCCTGGCTTTGGCTCGGTCCAAGGGCTGTTCCCCTGTGGGGCTTTGGTGAACCACTCTTGCCTGCCCAACACGTTTTTCCACTGCGTGGCGGAATCTTCTCCGGAGGGCAGGCCGGTCGTTAAGCAGGTGTTGCGAAGCATCCGCAACATCCGTGCGGGAGACGAGCTCTGCTACTCGTACCTGTCCAGTGGTTCCGCCGTCGGTACCGTGTCTGTGAGTGGCTCTCGGGGATAGGACATAAAGACGAAAATTGTGGGCCGATTTGATCTACACAGCAAGGCTTGTGGAATATGGTCGCCTTGGCAAATGACAAGAACCTTGGGTCTGCGGAATGTTTTAAAGGCTGAAACATTGTGTCCCCAGTTTATGCACGAGTCCCAGGTTCCGCCGAGGTCGGAAATAGATCGCCACGGTTCGTACACCGCGGACCGCCCACGTAGGATTGTCTCCCAAGACACAGTCAACATCGAAATTTAGGCGTTTGTGGGGGTCAAACGCCCTTGTCCAATCCCCATCTCCTCTAGAAAAGGCACCCCAACAGCAGCGGTGTGGGCTTTGCCATCTTGCGTATGACACTACACCTGCCGCAGCACTGTTGTGTGCGCCGCTAATAAGTACTTTCCTTCGTGTTTTGGCGCCATGGTGTTTGTCGTCATCGGCAGGAACGCCGCGATCTCCTGATGGGCTGGGGCTTTCGATGCGCTTGCGCTAGGTGCCAGAGCGAAGCTGAAGAGGAGAGACGCCTCCGAAGACAAAGAACCCCGACCGACGAGAGGGCACTGAAAATGCTTGAACGGCTTGGGCAGATCTCGGCCCTCGGGCAGCGGTGAGTCATGGGGACTGCTGGCACTTGTCTGTTGGTCGAGTTTCGGGTTTCTTGAGCTCGTTCAGCAAGCCGGTACAATTGGGTCTCCGTCGGCCGCACTTCGTGCAGCGTGGGGTCCTCGCTGGTAACCCCCGCAATCACCCGGCCCTCCCGCGCCTTTCCTCTTTCGTGTTTCGGTTGGTTTCTCGCAGGCCATATGCGATCTGGTCTAGCCGCCAGCTGTGTGCATGTGAATCGCAGTGCTATGCCCTCTTCAAACGGCTGTGGATCAAACTACGCTTGTGACGAAACGCTTCTACATCCCCCAAGATATTGCCTCACGTTCTCACCCGACCCACCCACCTTTTGGTCGATTCCAGGGGAAACGCACCAGCCCTGAGAGAAGAGGCCTACATGCCGGACCTCCAGCTTATCGCCGAATTCTACTCGCGCGAGAAAGGGAAGCGCCTCTCACCAATGCTGCAGTATCGTGTGGCGGTCTTGATGATGGAGGTAACGGCCCTCATCGGCGCAACGAATCTTTTTTTCCGATTCATGGTCTGCGGATTCGCAGCAGATGAGTTGTCCGAGCTAGGCAACGCTATGGCGATCACGTGTCGCCAACAGCAGTACATGTTCGCCACGAAAGTCGAAGTTTGTGATCTGGGGGAGGCGCAAGTGACGAAGAAACTGGAGGGTATCAGGGCCGTTGGGAAGTTCGCTCGCACTGATGCGCGGCAACTCCATGAGCTGTACTACGGTGGACAATCGAAGTAGGGCATTGACCGCACGCTGAAATGACCCGCCCTTCGATCAATATTCTCACCAAGTGAGGACCACGTCTTTACTGTACAGAGACAATCGATGACTTGTGTGTATATTTGATTTGTTTTTGTCCTCTGGCGGACGGGATAAAGTAGACCTCATTCCGCGTTCATTGGCATGCTACACACTTGTAGCACGTGGTCTACCTGCGTGCTCTGTTGTGAAATTTAATGTTGTGGCTTCCTTCCTGCTTGTGTTGTTTTCTTTGAATGTTGGAGTAAAAGACTTAGCGCCCCCCGTTCTTCAACAATTTTTAAAAGGAAGAGGCCTCAGAAAATCCGACGTGCGTCGTCCGGTGGTCGCAGGCTCGTCATAGCCCGCATTAATAATCGTGGTGCACGGTAGAAGTCATTTTTAGAACCTGTTCCCTCCGTCTGGCCCATGTCCGTAGCTGGTTCATTCCAAATTCCATTTTTCCTTTGCCGACATACGCGCTGATGCTTGTGTCACAACCTCAAGTACGTGTTAGGAATCAAATGACACAAGGATCTTGAACACCGCAAGTGTGCAAACATTCTTCCTACCTCATTTCTTTGACCCTCGTCGGCAGCAGCAGCAGCAACGGCTGATACAGAATGTTTGGCATACGCGCATCCGTGTACTTGTCGCATCAGATACAGGCAAAAGTACGCACAAGGTCTCGAATCCCGTGCGCTCTTCTGTTCTGGGTCTTGTTGAACCTTTCGTTCTTGGGAATTTCTCCTTCAATATTATACGTCCACATAAAAACAAGAACATCTATGCTCAGTAGCGTTTGAGAATCATTCTCAGTTCTGTCTAACTCTCGCGTGAAGGTGGGAGTCACGGCAGCACCGGAGGGTCAAACATGATGCCCTCCCTTTTCATGTCTCCACTGCACTAATCGTCTACGGGAAGGAGCCATAGGAAGGATGCTCTGTTACCTCTTGGGTATCTAGGTCTACCAACAGAGATCCGGCTTTGATACATACATAGGAAGGTGCACCGAGGTAACGGGGACAGGCAAGTCAAGCAACAACAGGTCGACGTGGGACCACGTTTCACATCACAACACTTGCATCTGGTATGAAACAGGCAGTCCTGCCTCAAAGTCAGCCCCACATCAACCCCTCACCAACCGTAACTGGTACTGTCGCTTCTTCGTTTTGCGTGGTCGTACCCACCACCATAGTTGTCAACACGGAGATCTAGTCAACATAGTCTATTCTACGTCACGAATATTTGCCATAAGTTTGGTGCGGTTGCCAACTATTTCACAGGAAAGATCCTTCCCCGGAAAGCTCCTCGAAAGGTGACAGTTGAATATACGCGTATCTTCGCCACCTCGACCCCCGGCGGCCAGCATCCTTGCCCGTTCGGCGCCGGTCCTCAACGTAAATCTGCTTTCCTTGCAGAAGCACATATTTCTTGCCGGAGGATCGGGTCGGTGCCACGGCTGCATATGATCCTCCCTTCTTTGAGATTTCGCAGAGGGTTTACGCTTGGAGCGCTGCTTTCCCCGTTCACGCTTGTGCCGACCGCACGGCCCCAGCACCCAAGCGGCTATGACAAAGAAAGGTCTGGCCTAAGCGAACCGGGGTCAATGATCATTGGCACTGGAGGTGGCGACCGATCCGATCCAAAATGAGGAGCTACCTCCCGGAAGTGTCACTGGGCCCGTGTTGCGCCTTCGGGAAATGAATGCGTCGCCTGCAAGCGCCTGAGATGGAGCTACTATCACCTCCTCTACCGCCACCGACACCCTTCCAACAGGCTGCCGGAAATACGACATGACCGTGAAGCCGGAGGTTAACGTCGTCCTCTCCACCTCGAGCCACGGCGGATAAACCTATTTTCTCTGCGATGCGCGACCTCGGCGTGCATGCGCTTACACTGTCGGACGAGCGTGCCCTCCGTGCTGGCGGGGTTGGCGCCCGTACGTGCAGTCCTTCGCTTTGGCTTTCTCCAAGGTGCCCATGCCGGGGGTTTCTTGGGAAGGAAATTCTGTTGTTGATGGTGGTGGAGGGTTTTGGGCTCTCTCTCACGTTGTCGCTGGTGCATGCCGTGCACCGGCGGCTCGAAATTCGCGGTGAGTCCGATAAGTCACACCCAAGCATCCCGTAGTCAACGATTATTGGGTGCCCGGGGAACCGCTCTAATCCACTGCCACAACCCCATCGGGAAATAATTTCTGCCACGCAGCGCTTACCGACCCTTGCCCGCAAGATAGGCAAGGATACCCGTGGACTTCGATCACGTGGAGTGGAGCCACTATCGCCGAAGCGCGTACTTCTCCTTCCCCGCAAGATAGGTAGGGACATGCGTGGGCTTTGATCACCCGTAGTGGAGCCACGATCGCCGCCGTCGCTGCTCAGCGCTGGAGCTGCGCACCCGCATCTGCTGTATCCTCGAACGGACGGTGAGTCGATGGGCGTGGTCTCAACGGTTGATGATAACACCGATCTCGGCACGACGCCACATACCGCCAACGTCGCGGCTGCCTCCGCCAGAATTCTCATCGACCACGAATCTCTGACGGTGCGAGGTTCTCTCATCGTGGTCGGTGTTGACTGTTGAATCAATTGCGCCCGTTCTCTTCCGCCGGATCCCCACCTGCCCTCACAAGAGAACTTGTTCGGGCCTGCAACTCCTGCCTGAATTCTCGAGGAAAAGGGGCTTCGGACGACTGTGTTGTCCGACACAATTGGTTCTGTTGGCGAATCCACCGGCACTGGTTCCCGTGTTGTCCATGTGTGGCCACAGCCTACGTCATAACCATCACCACGATACGCCACGTTAGAGGGTGCAAGGGCCGCCAGCTTTTGCATGCCGCGACCGTTAGCGAGGGTGGCCGCTGCCTCCGACAGGATCCTGGTGTACCATGGATCTTTGGCCACGGAAGCTCTTATCTCCATCAGTACTGCTGACCCGAAATCCGGCGATGCCGTCTCCTTTTCATTGATTTTCAAGTTGTCATCACAACACGCGGCGTCATCACCATCGCGACCCGTCAGCTCTGGAGGTGAGACAGATGCCGCTCCCCGTATGTCCCCACGATTTACAATGACTGTTGTCGCCTCCGCCAGAATCCTCGCGCGCCACGGGTCTTTGAAAGCACCGTTGCTGTTTGTTGTCGGTGGTTGTGGTTGTGCATGTGTTTTTCGTTGCGCCGCAGTCTGTGCGGGTAGCAATAATCTTATGCTTTTCCCACGACGTTCATCGTTGAGACCAATACCATCTACAACAAAGGCTTCCATTGAATCGTTTTCGTTTCCCCAGGTACCGCTGCTGTCCTTCCCCGCGTTCGCGTCAAGTAGCTTCACAGGCGACGAAGGGGCATCATGCGGTACTGGGGGAGTCACGGTTTGCCGCTGAAACTCGGGCGGGAGGCACAAGTCTGGGGCCGTCGCACTGCCGCCGACCCGTGGTGATTGAGAATCATTCGTGGTGATTGGGTTCACTTCTTGCTGTCGAGCAACATCAGCAGACGATGCAAGCAGTGTGGCTTGGTATAACAACCCATCCTTCGCTGAGGCACGCTCTATTTGCGAACACGACGTCTGATCTGTCGCGGGCTGCTCCCGTAGATTATGCTCGCCATTTACCGAGCGGATCGAAGACACCATAGGCGTTTGCTCGTCGCTTCGAGGCCCCTCTGCACCTTTCCCCTTCGCTGCCTCTATCCCCCCGGCAACTCTCTCCTGCTCTGCCTTTTGCTTTGAGTGACGCTGGTCGGCTCCTTCCTCTTCACTCCCGTTGTTTCCGTCTGATACCACCTCTAGCTGGTGGTCGGCTCCTTCCTCCTTTTTCAGCTCACTCCCGTTTGAATCTCCGACGACCGTCTCAAGGACCGTCTCCGTCGAGAAGGGTGCCCTCCTCTCTGAAGCACTCACCACCTCGTCCGAGTGCTCGGGTTTTGAGTCGAGAAATATCGGTTGCTTGTCGCCTTGAGGCCCCTCCTCACGTTTCCCGTCCTCCGTCTCTATCCTTCCGGCAACTCTCTCCTGTTCTGCCTTTTGCTTCGAGTGACCCTTGTCGGCTCCTTCCTCCTCGTTTCCGTCGTCTAACCCTGATACCACCTCTGGCTGGTGGTCGGTTCCTCCGTCCTTCCTCAGTTCCCTCCCGTTTGGAACTCCGACGACCTTCCCAAGGACCGACTCCCTCCTCTCCGAAGCATTCGCCACCCCATCCAAATACTTCGTGTTTGAGTCCAAAAATATCGTTTGCTCGTCGTTTCGAGGCGCCCCCTCACCTTTCCCCTCCGCTGTCGCTTTCCCCTGGGCAACTCTCCCCTGCTCTGCCTTTTGCTTCGAGTCCTTTTGCTTCGAGTGACGCTGGTCGACTCCTTCCTCGTCACTCCCGTCGTTTTCGTCTAATACCGCTTCTGGCTGGCGGTCGGTTCCATCCTCCTTTCTCAGTTCTTTCCCGTTTGAATCTCCGACGACCTTCCCAAGGACCGACTCCGTCGAGGAGGGTGCTCTCCCCTCTGAAGCATTCACAACCTTATCCGAAGTTTTCAGTTTTGAGTCGGGCAGTACGAAGCTCATCGGCCTACTGGGGTCCAAGGTTAACGTTGCCTGATATATTTAAAAAGGTACGTCAGAAAGCGTGGCATTGGTCGGGCGGATTCGGTGGGATGGTAGAGACGGGGCGCGTGTGCCCTTGTGATGACGGAATCATGAACTCTCGTATTTGGTTGCACGGGTAGAGTGGAAGACAGGAGTTCGTCGAGGTCTTCTTCCCGTGAGGCTCCCCCCACTCCGTCGTCTACTGCTGCCAGCGTTCGAAATGCACAGTTAGTACGAGATACAATGGGCACGTAAGGGGGGGGCGGGCCTAAGACTTGACAACCCGCGAAGCTAAGGATGATGGTGCGTCCCGTACGAGGTCGACACAGTTCATCACGAGTACTTCGTTGACGGGCCAGTGCCTCGGGAGTACTCCCTACGTAACATATAGGCACTGTAGGTATGAGTCCAGGACGCGAGCAAGACTCGGAAGGCAACCGTTCATAAGCAGCAACAAGCAGGGCATTTCTCCTAATCTCCAGATCTTTGTAGCTCTACTAATTCAATACAGAATCCGGGACATTTCGCCTGCCTTCCAACGGTTTTGGACCGAAACAAAACTGCCGTCTCTGAATTTTCGGCTTTTTCTCGCGCATTCAGATGGAGCCTCCCCCAGTGTACAGAACAGCAAGGGACACCATTTTCTCACCACGCTTTGCAGCTGGGTCCTGTCAGGTGTGAAGCAGCCGCCCGTGGTCCCCGGGATGTCGGCTTCATTCTCTGTTGGTTGCCCTTTCGATTCCACCACAAACTGATCGCCGCTACCGGTTGGCGACGTTAGTTCCGGCTGATCTGACTTGCTTTCGAAGAGGAAATCAGCCTTGTGATGGAACCTCCTTGAGGCGGTCTCCTTGCTCGTAGATATAGAGGTTGTTACCTCTTTGGATGGAAAAACCTTGCTGGTGTCTTCGAACGGTGAGGTTTTCTTGTCTCGCGCGGGCGGCATGTCGAACGCAACCGCGCCCTGGTTGATAGACGTCATCGTCGTCGACGTGGAGCAGCGATTTGCCGCGGACGCTTCGAAGGAAGCTGTACACTCAGCTCCTGCTCCGTCCTCATCGGTAAGGACACAGGTAGCTTCAACGGAGGGACCATTCCCTACCCCTTGTGTTGCAGAGGTGGCGTCCACAGGGATGGGATCGGCAGGCCTGTTGGCCAGGCTGCTGCCGCCAATAGAAGAGGCGTTCGTTTGGCTCGAGAGCATGGAAACGTCCTCGTTTTCTTTGCCCTCCTCGTCGCGAGTCTCGTCTACCGATGACATACACTTATGGTTCGCAGCAGAGTCGATGCGTCGCGTCGTCTCTGCTGTAGATGATACATCGGGGTTGCTCCTCTCCGGTTCCGGTTTACAAACATCGACGCCAATGCCACCTCGCGCCCCCCAAAAAAATTGCTTCAGGTTGTCCTGCTCATCGTTGCCGTGAACAAGATCGGCTCGGAGGTGACTGCGCCGGACGTCTCTACCTTGGGTCTTCGCCGTGAGCTTTTGCGGACTCTTTGGAGGCATGGACACTTCCGCTGACCCAACCGTCTTGAACGACACGCGAGGAGTTACTTCAAAAGTTCGCCGGGAAGGCGAGAGAGTCAGCGTTCTTATGGGCCCTCTCGGCACCACCTGGGATCCGCGGCTGTCATCGCGGTTGCTACTTTCGGAGTTGGATGTGGAAATCGAACTTGAGTCCGATTCTTCGCGAGCTTCCCTTTCCTGCCTGGCCCTCGCGAGCGCAATAAGATCCTGCAGATGATGCGTCAGTTTGCAAGAGAATTCACGTAGGACACCGTAGGCGACGTGTTTCGGAACTGCTCCGGAATACAAACGAATGTGGAGGACATCTGTCTGAAGTATAACCAACCAACCATTTGTGCACATACGAAGTATAGGAGAATACGATCCATCGGGGTAACTTGCCATCGGGAGAGTGACAAGTAACACATCGTTGAGATCTGTCTCTTCCATCGTCTTTGACCACCTGCCGAGAGTGGAGACGGAGAGTCTTCGACTCTCCTTCTACCCTCTGCTGGTCACTCTTTCTACCTCACTCCTTGTGACATCTCACGAAAGGAAATAGCCACCCTTGGCAGTAGGGGAACACTGCAACGGCACCGGCTCCTGTCTCTGACGGTAGCCTATGTCCTCACGAAGTTTCAGAAGTCTACCCTGTGTTGAGAACATTGTCTGCTCTATTGTAAACTTGGATGCAATGAATGGGGGTTCCAAATCGGGCGACACTCCGCGTGGGACTATTAAGCGGTAGTGACGTAGATTCCAAAGGGATATGTTGATACCTTTTGACGAATCCGTTTGTTGTGCAGGTTCAGCGTTTTATCCAGCAGTTGAAACATCTTGGACCAGGATCTTACCTTCGACACGATTGCATTGCCATCTTTTCCACCTTGTGCGAATACCGTTGGATTGCGCGTTTTCCGTGTTTGACGCAGCCAACTTCTGAAGTTTCCCTCTCCACCGCTGCGCGCGTTTTTTTCGGAACCACACAAGATACACGACGTGCAGGACGCGAGAATTGGTGGACAGAGAAGAGGATGCAATGCTAGCCACGAGGGACCCAATGGGTGAAACGGGCGGGGATGTTTGTCCATCTTTACATGCACGTGCAACCGTGCCATGTAGCTAAAACAGACAAGATTTGTGTCTGTTGCGTCGAGTTCTGGAATCCCTTGCGAGTAAAATCCAGCACAGGTATGCAATTGCTGCGGCGGAAGTTGTGTGCGTTCTCAGTCAACATTCACAGTAGTCTACGTCCACTAAAGCATCTCTGTTGCACTGGGCGCTACCTGCGTCTAGCATACGCGCTTTGGACATTGTAAGTGATCGTGAGTTCAACGTGCGATTATCTCTTCGTCTTGTGAAACTTTCAATCCGCCACTCTTGTGAAACTGTAACTGTTCAACTTTGCCCAAGTACTTGGGCAGTGGCTGATCAAGCGGGTGATTGGGTAACCTACGCAATGAATGGTAGAGCGCATGGATTTCATTCACTGTGACCAATTGTGGAGTGCAACATAAGGGTCGACGATATACCTTTCTTCGGAGAAATGAAGGCTTGACATGCTCGACACAGGCGACTGCGGCATGGTGAGAATTGCGCCGACAAGGTCGAACCCTGGGGTCGTATTCTCAGATGGACGTGTTCGCTGCATTGTTGAAGGGTACCGCAAGGAAGTCGCGCCATCGCAACCTTCTCGACCGTCTTTCCTTGGCAAGGTGAATAAAGATGGGGTTTGGCATTCTGAAAGGTGCGCGACGGCACCCCTGCTAGACGCGCAAGAGAACGGTATCCTACAGCTGCTTCCATCCTCGTCGTGGCCATACTGCCCAGCGGCCTCCACGCCACTGCTGCTGCTGCTGCGGTTGGTCGTCGTGTTGTTGTCGATTCCTCCCCGTTTTCCGACCTTGCCGTCACCACCGTATCGAACACCTCCAGGACCGAACGATTCACCCAGCCCCGATCTTGACGGCCGAGAAGGTGGCATCATGGTCCCGGTCCCTCTAGGAGATGCCAGAGTTTTTTTTCCCTCAGACACGAGGCTATTACGGTTGATCGAGGTCGTACAAGCCAATCCGGAAGGCGTACTGGCTCGTGGTTCAAGCCGTGCGCTTGCGAGTGTGCCACCCTCGTGATCTCCTCTGGCTCCAGGTCCACCATTGTCTTGCAAGTGAGACAGGACCATGGTGCAAACTCTGCGGCCCTTCTCCCTTCGCCTTGTTCTACATGTAGGTGTCTACCTAGTGAGAACTGCGTTGGTGATGTACCGCCCGATTCTCGACGAGAGAATAATTCTTCATCTCTTGTCAAATAGAAGTGCTCGAACACTAGGACTCGCAGCGCCAACTTCAGCCGACTCACAGACCCTGGGCAAGGAACATGAACGTTCGGTGAGCCCTTGACCAACCACACCAAAATATCAGACGGGAGAGCTGCTTGGCGAAGGACGTGTTGGTCGGTGGTACTTTATTCGTGTATTCCCTCCGCCCCCCCCCCCCCCC